GCAAAGCTCAGGGAGGCCACCTCCATCTCTCTCTTGAAAACTCAGCCATCACGGTAGCTGCAGTGCTTGGTATCATAGGAGTCAGACTTTTGGCTGCTGTGCTCTTCTCCCCTGTCTCTGAAGCCCTGAACCAGTGCCCGCCCAGCACTGACCTCTCCCACAGCGCCCAGACACCCTCCTAGCCCTCCCCATGCAGCTCCCACCAAAGGCTGGGTGACTGCTGGGACCAGGGAGCAGGCTGTCCACTGGGCTGACCTCCAAGCCAGGTTGGACCCAGGCCACAATGTCCTGTACACAGCAGCATCCGAGACACAGAAGAAAGGCGGCCCCGAGCCATTGCTCCCCGCAACGTGTCTGCTGTCACACTGGGATGAGGTTTATTGCACTAATAACCTCTGGCTGCTGCCCCTCAGCCCAAGGCCGGCAGCAGCAGCAGGCTGGGTGAGAGGGGACAGTACCCCACACGTTGTGACTTTGTAAGCAGCAGCGGGCCTGGAGGTACTGGCGTCCAAGTCAACCTCCTTAACAGCTCGTAGTGCTTCCTCCCCATGTCCCCAACGCCACACTGAGCTGCCACTGCCTATGAGGACATCTGACCACAACCCTGCACCAAAACAGCCCTACATCCTTTCGTGACTGGTGGAAAGGAACTTAGAAAACAAGGTCTTAGCCATCCACAGACAGGCGTAAAAATAATTAAAGAGAATAACTGCCATGACAGCAGGCTCCGCATCATGCAAGAGGAACGGGCCTAATTATGATCTCCAAGGCGATGCTGAGCACTGCTTGCTAAACACACTGTGTGAAACTCCAGCTGCCTCCTTCACAAACAGAGGAAATCACACACAAAATCATTTACTCCAAGTGCATGTATGTGGTTGCTTTCTTATTCAGAAAGAAATTATTATGCTTTCTGTTACTTATATGTAACAAGACTGCTACAAAGTTTACATTTTTCTGTTTACCAGAAAATTTGGCCAAATCAATAGTTTGTGACAAAAAAAGTAACAAAACCTGTAATAAACCCAAGCGATAGATAGTTGTTAAAGAAAAAATGCATTAGCTCTAATGTTCTCACATCTAATGTGATTTTGGGTGGGGAGAAGTGACACAGTGACAGCTATTAAGAACATGACTTATCAGGTACTTTTTTCAGCGTCCAAACTGCGCTGTCTGGCTTCCGCACGGACATTACAGCCAGCCAGACCCACAGAGCCAGGGTGGCTCAGCTTCAGCCCCAGCCAGCCCACCGTCAGGAACCCGGCGGCAGGAATTCAGGTCTCTGACCACGGCTCACAGCCCCTGCGCCTGCCGGCCACCACACACTGGGTGGTTTGCTGCATGGTGCGAAGTTTTGCTGCTTTATCCCCGTGTATTGCCAGTGCCATCTGGCAGGAGCTCCTGCACTCCAGTTTCTGTGCAGTTATAAATGGATCAGAGACCTGTCAGGCTGCCAAGTGAACCATCATTATCATTCAAGATATCATTTAGCACATACTCCACATGGCAGTCAATTGCTTGCGTTATAATCACCTCGTAAAACTGTGACTCCATAGATAAAATATCCCTGCGAGACAGTCTTTACCTGTTACATTAAACTTACAGATATTTAAAATGTCAGATAATCTTTCATCTGAATTGCACTGCTGTCTAATACAGTCAATCAGCCAGCTCCGGCAAGGAGGTTTTAGTTCTCAGGAAAGCGGCAGGAGGAAGCAGCCTTTCTGCATTTGTTCACAAATATCCCATTTGTCTTCAGATGCGAGAAACTAATTTTGCTGTGTGTAACCCTGAGTCCTTTGGATATTACACTGCTAAATTTGCAAGATCATCTTTCAAAGACAAGGCAGCTTGTCACGGTGCAAAGTCTTCTCTTTTATGTTACCTTCAGTTCTAGTATTGTTTGGTAACCTTAATTTAAAGTAAAATTATGCTTAAAAGACATAAAAATTGTCTGTACATTTTTTTAAAAAGTGTTTTTCACTGTTAGTATTTAGACTACCAGGACTAGTGTGGTTAGCAAGCTGAGGAACCTGGTTATCTACACTAGCTTCCAGAGAGGACAAAACAACTTCTGTTTCCCTTTTCTCAAAGGCAAGGCGATGGAGTACTCAAGGCGACGAGAAGCATGGCTCAGCCCTCCTCCAGAGCCTCCCTCCTTCTGCAGCCAGGATTGCAGGTACAAGCACAACTGCATTTGCACAAACCTGCCAGCCCTGCTGCCCAGGTCCCTCTCCGCACGCAGGCCACGCGGCCAGCAGAGCCATCGCACCTACGCACCGCCAGAGGAGCGGAGCTGGCTGCAGCTACGCCCGGAGGCCACAGCTCTCTGCCAAAAGTCACTTTCTACACTACAGGCACCTGCCATGCTGGATTTCTTACTTGGCTACACAGCCTGCTGATGCAGGCAATACACCACAAGCCACACTCCCAGCACATACCAGCATTCACACAAACACTCCTGCCGTCCTTTGAGACCCTGTGGCCCCAGCGAGGTCACCCCGTGCCCACGCAATGCTCTGCCTGAGCCTCCCTTGGCTTACTGGCCACAGTGACTGGTTTCGGGTCCGCCACTCTCACCAAGCCTACACAGATGCTGCAAACCTTCCCTTCCCCACTTTCAGAGCTTTTACACAAATCCACTCATTCCCCAGGTTAGTAGCCAGGACTAAACTAACAGTCCTAAATCTAAACCTGGTGAGAGCCAGCGCGACAATGCAGAACTAGCCCTTGGCACTTGCCGTCACAAGATGCCAGTGCAACTTCCTTTGCCGTGTTCAAGCAGGCCAGATACTCCAAGCAGCTAGATAAACAGGATCAGAAGCAATACTGATATTTATAAGAGTTTAACTCTAATCCTCAAATGCAGCATATTGCAAACCCTGACACTGCGCTCTGAAAGCGGCAGCGCCGTCCTCTACCACAGCCAAGGCCGCCTATTCCCCAGACACTGCTAGGAGACAGCAACCGAGACAGGCGTGTGCCTGTTGGGTGCTCAGAGCGCAGCAAGGTGCCAAGCGTGCCCGCAGCATGCCCAGGGCCACTCCGGCAGCCAGGTCAGGCTCTCGGGTGCAGCAAAGCTTCTGCTGTCGCACCCTGCTCCCCCGACGCTCAGCAGGCATTTCATTTATATTCCCCAGAAATGATAGCAGGAGTCATCTCCGCCTCTTCTGTGTAACTCGGTTTACTGATAATTGCATTTATTGCTACCATGCTGTTGTTTACATGTCTCAGTTATTAGATTGCTTTGTGGGGAGCTGGTTTAATACAACATTCAACACCTGGGTTTATATTACTCTGTGTGAGCATCAAAAGGCCAACCCAAGAGACACATTGTATGCTCTTGTCCTGCCTCTTTTCCTAATTCCCAGAAATGCTTTATCAAGTTAATGTCTCACCGAGGCATCTCCAGATCAATTCATAGGGATTTCTGTGTTTCTTTTATCATGCAAAACATTTCACATTGGCCGCAATGTTGTTATGGCAATACAGGATAGTAAATTTGGACAAGAAAAAGAATTCACATGATGAGTTTCAGTTTGAGACATACAGGATGCAATTTCAGAGGACACTGGCAAATCATGTGCAATTGCGCACTAAAGTAGAACCTGTGCTTAGAATGAACACTGGAGTCGGGCAGGGTGATCTTCTACCACCAAACTTACCATAAAGCTAACGAAACCCAGGGGTGTTGAATTAATTACTGTGTGTGCACATTTGGGACTACTGCTCATGAATGAAGCTGTTCTTTGCAGGAGCAGCAGCAATTTACAAAGGAGTCTGCTGCTATAATGTTTCTAGCTCATTTTGCAGGTGGCAGAGGCTCAGCAAAGCCCAGCCTAAGCATCTGCCCAACCCCAGGCCATGCCTGAGGTCCCACCACACAGGTCTCGAGCTGAACGAGGCAGGTCAGTGGCATTATTTCCAATGGAAATAATGTGCGGTTTGTTGCCCTTAAAAAAATCAAATTAAGAATTTCACATGCTATGGTCAGAGCAAACCAGTGTAAAAATATAATTTCCTTTCTGGAGGACAACTACTAAGTACCTGCAGCAGGGTCAAAGTCACCTGACTTCAGTCTCGGGGGACCAATCTCAAGCAATGCACTTCTAGCTCCCTTTCTGTTACTTCTCCACACACACCTTTCAGTCAGCAAGATGATGAATAACGTAAACATTCACACACTGTACCACCTCAGAGTATCATCATCTATTTGTTATGAGAAATAACAATTTTTCTATATGCCAAAACATAAAAATGCAGTAGGGTGACAGTTCTCCTCCTCCTCTTTCTTCCAAGCATGAGTCAAGCACTATTAAAGACCTGCACACTTAAAGTGCTAAATTTGACTTTATGTTTCCCATTGGCAAGGTACCCGGGAAGCTCCAACACCAGTCAAGAGAAGTCACCAGACACAAGGATCTAGCTCCTAATTTTTTTAGGTGCTTTTGAAATGAGCTGGTGTGTAATCATGACCCAGCCTTTACAGCCATTATGCTCTTGGACACAAATTAGCAGTTCTGACCTCTACACCTGCTTCCTACAGGCGATGCTGACCCCCCCATCTCCCAGCCCTCCCCATTTGCTGCATGGTGGTCTCGGCCAGACTCAGCCCAGCAACCCAGTGATGCAACCAGCCACCAAACCTATTAGCTATTTCTTTGCATCTTTTCAGCTCTGATCTGTTCTGCTTTGTGCACAGGTCTACATAAATCTTGCCGCTCCATCCCCCCCTCTATTTTGAGCAGACAGCTCATGTGAAGTTCAGTGGGGCCAGCTACAAAAGTCATCCTTACAAGCGTTGTGGGATAAGCACAGCAATCTCACACCCAGAGTCTGAGTCCATCCTCATTTGCACTGCAGCGATGTGCTGTAGCGCTTCATCTTCCCAAGTCGTAACAAGGCAACACGCGCCCAAGGCGCTGACTAACCTTTAGCTTCTTAGAAAGGGGTCCAGCCTCTGAACATGCTACTTAGAGCTGCACTGTTACATAAAGGACCTGATATACCCCATTACACTCTCTTCTTGTATAAATCCTCCCTTAACACAAGGAGAGACCAACGGAGGGAAGCAGCTCCATTGTGGCTGGAGGACAGTTCCTCCATCACATTCACCCCATGGATCTTGGAGAGCAGATTGCACAGAGGGACCATAGCCCTTCCGCCACAGCATGAGACAGTCGTCCTGTGTTTCTGAACATGGGAAATCACAACGCCAAAATGAATGCTAGTAATTATAAGTATTTCAGGCAAAATAAAGGGAACTAAACCCTGAGAGCCAGATTTTTAAAGAGAGATTTCTCTTCTTGTTTTTTCCTTTCCTCAGAATATCTTGGCACAGCTGTAGAATACTTTTAACTGTGGTTACATATGTGCTTTAAATTAATAATGATCTATTAAGTTATACTGTTGCTTTCAATATTGTGTTCTCAAACAGTAAAAATACATCCTATGGCTGTACCTCAACAGATAGTCCTTGAACACGGTACACAATCAAAGAATTAAATTGCACAGGAGACTTCCGAAAACTTCTCCAAGCACTCTGGGAACACTGAGTTTTCAGTGGTTTAACTCCGGCCAGCAACTAAGCACCACGCAGCCACTCACTCACTCCCCCCCACCCCCAATGGGACGAGGGAGAGAATTGGAACAGTAAAAGTGAGAAAACTCATGGGTTGAGATGAAGACAGTTAAATAAGTATAGCAAAAGCCACACACACAAGCAAGCAAAAGAAGGAATTCATCCCCTGCTTCCCATGGGCAGGCAGGTGTTCAGCCATCTCCAGGGAAGCATATAATGGTTACTTGGAAAGACAAAATGCCACCACTCCAAACGCCCCTCCTTCTTCCCCCAGCTTTATATACTAAGCATGATATCACAGGGTATGGAATAGCCCTTGGGTCAGCTGGGGTCAGCTCTCCCTGCTCTGTCTCCTTCCAGTTTCTTGTACACTCCAGCCTGCTTGCTGGTGGGGCGGTGTGAGGAGCAGAAAAGGCTTCGACCCTGTGTAAGCACTGCTCAGCAACAACTAAATCATCCCTTGTGTTATCAACACTGTTTTAGCATGAATTCAAAACATAACCCTATACTAGCTGCTATGAAGTAAAGTAACTCTATCCCAGCGAAACCAGCACAGTGCCACAAAAAGTTGTGGAGACGATCCCAAGACGATTTTAGTCATGACAATGGGACTATATTGCTTAGTAAGTTCATTTAAAAGTGGGTGAATTCTCCAAAAGCAGAAATACTACCGGTGGCTGCTTCTACTGCCAACAAAACTAGGGCGCAGGGAAATAGGAAAATTGCTGCTATTAGAAAGAGAAAGTGTATTTAAAAACTCATTTGAGCTCATTGCTCAAATCTCCACCATAAGAGAAACATTTCAATCACAGAAGCACAACAGGTGAGGGAGTGGGCTTATTCCTGGGACTGCGGCAGTACTGACACCCGCATATTAACTCCAAACATAGACTCAGTGCTCAGCAGTGGAAAAAATGTGATGCTTGGTCATTTGGATGCTGCAAGGAGGCATTAATATTAGCTATGACAAGCCTTGCAGCAGCCACTACTAGGTACTTGAGTAGATGCTCTATAACAGACTTTATTCATCTTGAGGCTCAGTTCACACTTTGTCTTGCATGTGTTAATAGAAAGGGGAAAAAAAAGTTATTCTTTATCTCTCTTTCCTGAGAGGTACACGAAAGTAGAATCAACACAACACAATAGTAGGACTTCTTAGGGTTAGAATTAAATACATTTTGCACAATGTCAATGGGAAATTCCAGGTATGGACCATCCAGCTCCCATAGCTCAGCTACAGGTTAAACTTCAGTGTCTTACCCAAACACACCACTTCAGAGAAGCAGAAGCTAACAGATATCTTCTCGCTTATTCAAATATTTAAGTATTGACACTATCGAAGTCCCTGGTAGAGTCTTGATTTAATTGGTAATGTTTTTCCCAAGGGACACATGGAGTGAAGCCATCTATCCAGTCCCTTTCTGGTAGCAACATTTTCATTGTTCCCCTGCATCATTAAGCAAGAAAGGACAGCAGTGATAAACTGCTTTTAATACTTGTCTCTATCGGCTACAGAGAAGACATTGTCAGCTAAAATAATTGGCAACTGCCACTATTCTTGCCGGTGAGCTCTTTCTCCAAAATGTTTTAATCTTACTGTGGTCCTTGGCACATATTGCAGAGCTCTTGTTCTGGCTTTTCACTTGGGATATTTCTAATTATTATTATGCTTATTTATGGTGTCCCTGAAGGAAGACGTGCAGAGTTTAATAGCAATGTACCAAGAAAGTTATTGTAAAGCTCTATAAAGTAGACTGGATCTTTGTGATATCCCTAATTTTTGGCACAGAGTGAACATAGAATTAACTTTACCGGACTTCACTGCCAGAGTCCCCAGAGCACGGAGCGGAGACAGCAACCTCAGGCCACCTGCCCCAGCTGTGAGAGCAGCCTGAAGGCTACCAAACCCCACACAGGGAACAACCCAGCCCCAGCACTGGGGGAGGATCAGGATGCAAAAATTTCTCATCTCCCCAGCAATAACTCAGCCAGAGAGACAAAACCCATCAGGTCTCCGAATCACCCTTTAAGCTTTGTGCTAAAGAGGAGCCTGTTAAATCCTCCCCAAGAAGTGATTTATGCCTTTTGTGCTCTCTTTTATCCTTGACAGGGAGCTCAGTTTTACACACTGCCAGATTGTCACCTTAGACCAACAAAATATTAAGCACCAGGGCAGATCGAGTCCTTGAGCCGCTTCCAGACACCTTCAATGGGAAACACTTCCAGAAATACATGATTTTATCCAGGAAATGTACATAAAGAGGAGGAGAGTCTGACCCTGCCAGATTATTTCTTGCAGATGCTTCCACTGATGCTCAAACGCTTGCAATTCACCCCCGGTTTGTAATTAATCAGTGAAAAATTAAAGCTCACTTTAGGTCTTCAATGTTTAGCGTAAGCTTCTGAATATAAAAGACAGGATATGATCCCCAATTGCTTTGCAGATGAAGGCGAGGGTGCCATGGCCAAATGTTCATCTGTTTGATGGAGATCTGAGGACATCCTCCATCCAAGGGACTTCAGCACAAGCCCTGCTCACCAGCTAACTGCCATTCCCCTCACCAATAAGCTTTGGACCCTTAAATTCAAGTGTTAGAGCCCAGTGGCAGCCCCAGATAATTGCCTGGTCTTGGCAAAGGCAGGAGAGGGCAGAAGCCAGTGCTCCAGTGGGCATCACCTGTGGCTTATGAAAGTCCCTCCAAAGGTTCTCAGCCCCTGTGCCCCACGCTGCCTGCACTGCTTCGGAGATCACAAAAGCAAGTCAAGATGCTCCTTCCCTAAAATGAAATTCGACATAAATAGCTATCTGGGTCTTTGTCAGCAGCTCCTCACTTCCTCCAGCCCAGGGGCAAAGCCATAAATAAATTTCGTGCTCTCAGGAAATGTGACAGTTATTATTCGATAACTGAATTATAGGCTCATTCTTGGAAAGGAATAGCGGCAGGCAGGGAAGGGAAGGGACCGTAGCGTTTTACTTCACAGGAACTGAAATACCTCAAAGAAATATTAAATCTGTGATAGGAAACACTGGTGAGTGCTTTGTACTTTGGCAACTTTCTCTCATTTTGGTATTACTGTTTTCAATTTTTAAAGGTGTTTGTGATGTACAGAATATAGAATAACAACCACATTAAAAATGCATTTCCCTGTCACATAGTATCTTTATAATGTGCTAGGAGTTGTGGAAGTTGGGAAGGGTGGAATCCAGTGGGAGGGTAGGGAGTGCAGGTGCCTACTGGGGCTCTGTCCCACACTGCCCGCCCCCTCCCTGGTGGCCACCAAACTCAAAAGCAAAAACTTTCACTTCAAATACAAAACTTTGAGGTGGGAAGCAGGGATCTCACGTGATTTTTTCTTGTAAAGGAAAGGACGTGAGGGCAGAGAGCCCTGCGCTCATCTTGGGATGAGGTGTCCAGAAGCACCTGTCAGCTGGAGGGATGGAGCTGAAAGTTGAGGCTTTGTCCTTAAAAGGTAAACCTGGAAGGGAGAGGAGCTGTGACTGCCATCGTGGCACACAAATGCATGGGTTTCTTTTGGTGATCCAACCTTTGCCTGAACATATCCACAACAAGAGTCCTGGATTCAGCAACAGCTGGTCAGCCAAGGGCGCAGCAATGGACGTAGGAGCAGGAAGAGATAGCCCCGTACGCCCATGCATGCAGTGTCCTCCCCACATCACACCTTTGGTTCGTGTGTATGCTCCCCAAACGACATACTGATTCACTCGGCGTCTGCAGGGATTGAGGAACGACTGAGGGAGCTGGCGTTGTTTAGCCTGGAGAAGAGGAGGCTGAGGGGAGACCTTATCAGGTGGGTGTAGAAAGGTGGGGGCTGACCTCTTCTCCCTGGTGAGAAGTGATAGGATGAGAGGAAATGGATTCAAGTTATGTCAGGGGAGGTTTAGATTGGATATTAGGAAACATTTTTTCACTGAAAGGGTTATTATACATTGGAATAGGCTGCCCAAAGAGGTGGTGGATTCGCCATCCCTGGAGGTGTTTAAAAAAAAAGGGTAGATGTGGTACTTAGGGTCATGGTTTAGAGGTGCTTCTGTTGGGGTAGGTTGATGGTTGGACTTGATCTTAAAGGTCCCCTCCAACCGCAGCGATTCTATGATTCTATGTATGTTTAGGTTCATTCATCATGAAAAATCTGTTCTGTGTTTACATCCCCCTCGGAGGAACACCACCATCTCACACCACAACAATCGCCTGCTGAGCCTGCCAGCATCAGCCTCCGGCATGCTCAGCAAAGCCTTGGCTTCTCCCGGTGCCTGAACCAGGTTTCCTGGTCCCACCAATGTCCCCTGGACAATCAAAGCCCATCTAAGGTGCGGGGGGCCGGGGAGCACAGACACCTGCACCACACTTCCCATCAGCTCCTAGCCGTGCAGGGATCTGCACGATTCGATGACAGGCGCTAAGAGCACACAATGTTGGAAAGATTCCTTTTGCAGAACCAGTAAGTAGTGGGTTGTTGATCCCTCCAAAGCAAGAGCTTGTCCTGGGAGCCTGTTACTGAAGGAGCTTCCACCCTGATGCACAGCCAGCCCTCCTGGCAGCAGGGGGAAAGGCCGGGCAGGCAGCGCGCACCCACTGATGGAAACAACACAGCGTTTGAACTCCTGAGGAAGATGTTATCCCGTATGCTCCCGTTTCACTTCCAATTAACATTAGAGTTCACGGCTTCTACAGTGTCTTTATAATAAGTCAAGCTGTTTGGAAAGAAATGGGCCATGCTAAAGCTCTTATTACCCACAGAAAGAAATGATCCAGCATCAATGAAATGGATAGCAAATGTCCATATGCACAGAAAACGATCATTGCTTTAGATCAGGGAATAGCAATAGATCTAAAACTACACGATATTATTAGTTGTGAAGTGATTGTTATGTGGAGAAGGTCTAATAAGGCTCTGCAGACAGTAATGAGGAGGTACTCAGCTCTTGAGCTAAACAGACTCATTTAGACAAAACAGCCTGACATAGAAAGTACGGAATGAAAGGTGTCGTTAAGTTATGAGGAGTACTGCCCTATTACTGCATGCTAATTAGCGATTTGGAATCGCAGTGAATCAAACAATATTGAACAACACTTTTTATTCCATCAAAGACCATCATTTTTCAAAATCAATGGCTTTCCAATAATTGGCCGGTATACGTTTCTCTTTTTCTAGTTTTACCTGTCCCCATTAATTTTGTGGGTTTCCTTTGGGTCTTCCCTTTTTGGAGTTTTGGGGTTTTTTTATCCTTTGTAATTGCTTTTGTAAACAGCAGAGCCTAAGGCATGATTTGTAGCCCTCTCCATTTAAGCACACACAAAAAAAAACAGGGGGTCGGGGTGGTGGACATCAGAACAATAACTGTCCAAAAAGAAAGCAGGGAAAAAGCATCACACTTTGCCTCCTATACTGTTAAGAGATTTTAGCCCAGTCTATAAGGATGTAGTGCACAGAAAGAC